GGGCATGATCCTGGAGACCCGGGATTGAATCCCACGTCAGGCTCCCGGTGCATGGAGCCTGCTTCTCCCTCTGCCTGTGTCTCTGCCTCTCTCTCTCTCTCTCTGTGACTATGATAAATAAATACAAATTAAAAAAATGTTAAAAAAATAAAAAAATAAAGAAGAAACCAAACCATATCTATTCTACTAAAGCTGTTTGGAAAAATAGAAAGAAATGGAGTACTTCCAAACTCGTACTATGAGGCATCACCCTAATTTCAAAACCAGACAAAGACCCCACCAAAAGGAGAATTATAGACCAATATCCCTGATGAACATGGATGCAAAAATTGTCAACAAGATACTAGCCAGTAGGATACAACAATATTGTTGATCTTCACATTTAGAAGAGTGTTTCCTTCTTTCCCTTCCATTTCTATAAAGCAGAGATTTTCTCCACCTGTGAACTCCACGGTCCACACCACCAGCTTGCCTCCTGCCATATCTCTAGGGAGTCATTTGGTCACAATATTTTAACCTTTTGGTCAGAATGTAAATTTCACAGCCTTATTATAAATAGCTTAGGAGAAGAAACTGGGTCTCATCTACTCTGGATCCTTCTCACATGACCCAGTTCAATGCCTTCTACATAGTAGGTACTCAAAAAGATCAGTTGAATAGGTACGTGAGATAACAAATTTGAGTTTTAGAACAAATGAAGTGGCATACACTTCTGCAAGTATAAAAATTAATTAAAAATAAGCTGTGCTTGAAAGAAATTTAGAAGTCTCCAGTGACATCCTCCAAAGCAAGCATGTTTATTTATGGTGCCCCCGAACTCAATGCAACAAATAATAATGCAGTTACTACTTTCCTGGAAAACAATACCCTTTGAAAAAATATTTCCAAATCATATACACTGTTGAAGATCATTTGCTTACTGGGGGATAAGGAATGTAGGCATCAGGAAGACAAATCTGTCTGTGACCTAACATGCAGTGAGCATATTAGGTATTTCTCACTATGTACCATCGAGAATATGGGGAATGTCTGGTTTTATGCTAAAAAGGAAGCATTTGCATTGTCTCTCAGAATTCCCAGAGCTTCACCTTCACTACAGCATTTAGATGTTATTTGGAGTTGGCTCCATTTTGTATCATGATACCTTAGCCCTCCCTCAGTTCCTAGGTTGAGTTTTTTGTTTTATTCATTAATTCCAGAAAAATTATTCCAGGGTGGAAGCAATGGTATTCACATGCAGTGGTCAGTATAGATCTGTTCTAAAGGTCAAACTACCAGATCAGGTGTGGGCATGAAAGACAAGAGTTAAGGGTGACTCTGAGGCTTCTAATCTGAACAAATGAATACATGGAGTTACCAATTATCCAAATAGAGACAGCTATTATAGGCCCGAAGGGCAGGCTGCCCAAAATGTACCACTTTGGGCATACTGATTATTTTAAATAAAAGTTATTTAGAAGAGTCTGTGCAAGAAGGACACTCAGACCCTCCTCTGTCCCCCTGAATGCAGGAAATAAATTTCTCCCCTGAAAGTTACTCTCCCTACCAGAAGCTAAAGAGACTTCCTTATCACCAGAGATAGAAAATTTAGAGCCAGAAAGGCAATAGAAACAACCCTTGTTACTTTTTACTAATTTCCTAGCATAGTCCAAATTCCTTTCAGAATTCCTTACTAAATAAAGCTCCCAAAGTTAAGGGTTTTTGTCCTGCCAATTCCTCACAGATTTATTGTCTCTTTGCCTAAAAAGTTCAAAAACTATCTGCTTTGGTCATTTCTGTATGTCTCAATGTCATTATTGGGCCTCCGTGTGCATATAACAAAATTTTATTGTTTTTTTTTCTCCTATTAATCTGTCTCAAGTAAATTCAATCTTAGTCCAGCTGGAAAACTTTAAAGGGTAGAGAAGAATTTTTTCTTCTCTTAACTATGGAGGGGAAAAATGTAAAAGGGAATGAAGGGATGGTCTGGAACACACTGGGATCAAGAGCCTACTAGGTGCCCACATTGGGAACACCAGGGAGGAAGTTGGGTTGGTGCTGTTAGCTCCTGAATGGTGTCTTCAGTCTGGATACTGGGCCCTCCAACTCCTGAGCAAGGAATGGCTGGACAGACATCAAAAGACAGCAGAGGTGGGCAGCCCAGGTGGCTCAGTGGTTTAGCGCTGCCTTCAGCCCAGGGCCTGATCCTGGAGACCCAAGATCAAGTCCCACGTTGGGTTCCCTGCATGGAGCCTACTTCTCCCCCCTGCCTATGTCTCTGCCTCTCTCTCTCTCTCATGAATAAATAAGTAAAATCTTTAAATAAAAAGAGAGACAGCAGAGGGAACTCGGGAGTCATGAGTGAGTTAGGAGAAAAACCTAAGAAGAGGTTTCCAGACACTAGGTGAAGTACGATTTCAAGAAAGAGGGGCCAATCAACTCTACCCAAACACTCCTGAGAGACCCAGTAAGCTAAGAGGGAAAAATCAATCCCTAGAAAAGGCAAAACAATACTGTTGTTCTACCCCTGGTAGGGAGTGTGGGAATAGGGCAGGTATCAGACATCATTTGGGGTATGGCAAAGTTCTGTTTCCTGAGGGAGATGGTACTCAAGAGCTGAAAGCATTCCGTGGCAGTACACTTAGGGTCTGTTCATTGCCTTGTATGTAAAGTTTTTGCCTTGAAAGACACCCTAGTCAAAGAGCTTCATGAAACATATAAGTGAAAGTGACCACTGTCTGCTATTCTACTTTGAACTGAACTCAAAAATAAGCTAGATCTATAGAAAGATGAATAGATGGCCAACTATGGAATAAAGCAAGAATTGTAAAATGCTAATTACAGAATCTAAGAGGTGAGGATACAGACTCACCGTAAATTCAACTTTTAAGTATATTTGAAAATTTTCAACAAAACAATTGGGGGAAATGTTATTCATAGGATAGCATTCAGCAACCTTGAGAGTTAGTAGTTTGCTCACCCCAAGGCTGAGTTTAACTGAGAATGCATGTGAATAGACTGGTGACAGTCAGGGTCAGGCATGGGTTGGGAAAGGAACTTTGCTGTAAAGGTGAGAAGGAAACCAGAGTCACTGCTGAGGGTTAATGGTGACAACTGAGGTTTGTCTGTATGCTAATGAAAATGACCTGCAGACACTATTATGCGGCCACAAGGACAGTTGTGAAAGCAAGGCTCTTGGCAAGGACCAGGAAGGAACCTCCTCCCAGAAGGGAGGGCCTGCCTCTAAGGGGAGTACAGACCCTGTGCCCATGACCAAAGGAGGGAAGCTAAAGCAGGTGTGCACAGGCTTTAGGGTAGGATGTGCTCACTACAGAATGTTACTTTAAATACTGCAGGGAAATCTCTCAAAGGTTCTGTGAGGGATCTCATGTATAGTGAAGCGTCCTCCTGGGACACATTTAAGTGAATGTTTTCTTTCTCTCCATTGCCACATGCATGTCTTGTCCTAATGAAAGACATTTTTCCCATATCTCAGCTCCTATCCTGGAACACTCACCCAAGAAGCAAACAAAAGGTCAATGAAAAATACCAATGTCTCTATGCTAAAAATTGGGTGACAAAAACTTTCAAAGATCAGGTGGGTTATAATTCCTTTAATTCCTTGCGTTCAACAAAATTGAATGAGAGAGAAACTAGTCAAACTGTCAGCTGATACACCCTGATAAAACTATATGATTTTTGGCATGTCATCTGGAAGAAGTTCAAGGAATTAATTAACATTGCTGTAACAAAATGTCTTTCATTGTGAACAACACATTACTACATCTATTTTTAAAAGTCATAGAATTTACAGTGAAATCTGCATCGGGGTCTCATTTCCGGTAATAAAAAATAGTCATCTATGAATTAATTTAAAACAAAGCCCCATCTTTGGTAGAGAGATGAATGTCACCTTGATGAATTAAGTACGAAGAATCACCATAATCCTAAATCAATCTAGAAGAAAAAAATTAACACTTATTGTCTAAAGGAATAATTTTTATGTAAATATTTACATTTGAGAAAATCAAGACAGAGTGATTAATAAAAGACCTACAAACAAAATTATATTACAGTAGGATAAAATTTTATGTGAAAAGTGGAATCGCAATTCAAGTGCAAAGACAGGGACTGTGTGAAATATCCAGCAGTTAGAAGAAGGCCTTCTTCATGTATTTCTTAAGTGAATGATATAGACATAAATTATTATGTTATTTAGGTTCCACTTAAAATAGAGACTAACAGTTTTACTTTCAAAGGTCTATATTTGTAAGTTGCTGGAAGAGACATCATTTGCAATTCATTAAATTGAGGTGAGAATTTTAAGATGTCAAGTTAAAAATCCATGAATGGAATATAGTACTTCACAATTTTTGAAGGGGCCACTAGAAAACTAAGTGTGGAGACCTCTAGTTTAGGCAACTCTCTAGGATACCCATATTTGCATCCAGAGGGCATGGGGAGTGAGGCAGTCTCCTGAGCCCTAGGACCAGTCAGTACAGATTACAGACATGCTATAGATTTGCTACAGACAATGCAGATCTTAATCTTACTACTTTTCTTGCATGAAGTGCTTTTAAAATTTCTCTAAGTCGGGAGGCCTGGGTGCCTCAGCTGTTAAGCATCTGCCTTCAGCTCAGGGCACGATCCTGAAGTCCCAGGATCGAGTCCCACATTGGGCTCCCTTCAGGGAGCCTGCTTCTCCCTCTGCCTATGTCTCTGCCTCTCTCTGTGTGTCTCTCATGAATAAATAAATAAAATCTTATAAAAAATTTTAAATAATAAAATTTCCTTAAATCAACCTAGAGTGAAATACAAGCATGTACTGAGCCCTGCACAATGCAGTGAGAAACATCCAAAAGTGGACGTTTTATTTCACATACACTAGTTTGAGTGTAGTGAGGGAGGACTGCCCTGGTTTTTATCAGAGGCTCTCTGCTTCCCGTGCATTTCATGAATTGGCATCTGGAAAGCAAGAGCAGAAAGACCCCCAGTAGAGGATTGCCATTGTCTCAACTTACCATCTGCAGCCAAATGTTGGTGGTTAAAACTTGGTTCTTCTCATCCTTCAAAGAAAAAGAAAGAACCATAAATATTGTTTATATGGTTTACAAAAGAGGGAGTGATATCATTATTCATGCAGGAATGGGACTGCTGGAACTCCTGGAGTGTGTGGGAATCAGGAGGTACCAAGTGCTTCCAAATACACTTAAGCAGCATTTCCCCAGAGTTAAGGTTTTCTCTTTATTCTAAAGTAATGCACATTTATTATAGAGCACTTACAAAACATGAAGAAGTATAAAGAAGAAAATTAAAACCCCACAGCCCCACAATCCAGAGATGACACTTGCTAATGATTTAGTTTACTTTCCTTTGTACCCTTTACAATAATTTATATGCTTAAGAAAATAAAATTGGGAATAAATTCCATTTTTTTAAAGTCAAGTTTATTACCAGAATGTATACAGTTTTAAACAAATATAAGTATCTCATGCTTCCCTCCCCCAGGAAAGGGAACATAACCTGTTAAAGCTGCCATGCTGTATGCCAATGGTGCTGTTTGGGTTACATTTCTCCCTGGTCACTGTGGATCTGCCTGCCTTTTCTCTCATCTTCTATCTACTGGGAAGCATGCCTAGCCACACACACCTGCAAGGTAAATTCTGCCCTAATGAGTAAACCAGGTTTCAGAACGGTAACACAACTTTATGAAGGAGCTATTCAAACCTGGATCTTTCTGACTCAAAGTCTTTTTCCCCACATTTCCAAACCACCTAAGGATGGGGTCCAGCAGGTCTGTACTCTAACCATAGCTTTGCTCCAGCATAGGAACCTAAAGAAAATTCTAATCAACATCAGCCTTTCCAATTGGGATGTAAGCAGTGTCTTATCACAGCTGGACAAGCCCAACATGGCCCAGCAAAAGTGAGTGTACACAGACTAATGAGTAAGTTTCATGCAATACTTATACTGAAATGGTGTTATTCAGCATTTGGCACTCAATTCCCAACTAAAGGACTCTGTAAATTCACAATTGCCATTCTCTCTAGGAAAAAAATATTTATTAATGCCCCCAAGCAGATGTGCCTAGAAGCGGAGACTGTGAGCTCCTCCAACAGGAATTATCTGGCCCCATTAACTGATGGCATACATGAGAACAGACCCAATGGCAGAAAGAACATGGCATCTGCTGGGGCGTGGTCAGAGGGCAGGGATACTAATGAGAAATAAATGCTGTTTCTCATGAAAATAAAAATGTGTTGAATATGTAAGGAACTGGCAAAGATTCTTTGATGCATCAATGCCCCCTGGCTCTGCAGCTCACACTCTGAGCAAATTTGAGAGGTGAAATTGGCAGGTCTAGGTATGTGAATCCCAAAGAAAGAAAAGAGCTGCTTGGGAATGGACAGTGGACAACATCCCAGTAGGTCCTAGACCACAGCTGTGTCCAGAAGAAGATGCCACTTCTTGGCACAGGGAAAATATATCCTATTTTCCAAAATAAATATTTCCAAAATAAATATTTTGGTGATAGGGAAAATATATCCTATTTTCCAAAATAAAACATGGTAGTCTTTTTGGTGGAAAAAGTTACATAGCTAACATTTCTCTGTACTGCATACTGAACAAATGGTCCCCGATAGAACCATATATTTGAACTGCATGAGTACTCTAGTTCCAGTTCAATCTCCAATATTATTTGAAAGCATCAGTGAACTCTTTTAGGACATATATTCATTGCATCAACTTATTAAGGAGTTGTTATTTTTAATGGACTTAAAATTAGCCAGTGTTCCATTTGGGTGGTTTTCCTTCTTTTAATTGCATCTGTGTCTCAGCTTCTGAGAAAAAAGGCTTCTGTGGTTTGGGAGCTCAATTACTACCAATCTAATTAAAAGGCTTTCTTCTTTCCAACATTCCAACTGAAACCTCATTAGAGTGAAACGGAATTTCTGCATATGTAGCAGCATGGGACTGAAGTGCCGGCGTTTCAAACTGTAATCAACACTGAGCAGCAGCCAGCCACCGCCCGGGAGCACAACGATGCCAGGTAGGGGAGTCCTCCTTGGAGACTCAGAAGGACCAGCCTGCAGATTGGCAAAGAGGCTGCTATGTGCATTCCCAGGGTGGATCTCTTTCCTCAGCTTCCATCCCAGGGCCACCTGCTGGCTAAGACTCTGGGCTCTCTAAGTCTGCACAGCAACAAGGTATCCTACCTCTTTCCCATTCCCATGAGCAGTGTCCCTTCCCCATCACACAGTGAATGTTTGGGGTTCAAACTTAACCCCCACTGTGATGGTATCTGGAAGCTGAAGCTTTGGAAGATTAGGTCATGAGAGCAGAGCCTCCATGAATGGGATTAGTGCCTTATAATAGAGACCCAAGAGAGCTCTCCTGCCCTTTCCGCCACGTGAGGACATAGAGAGAATATAGTCTATGAACCAGAAAGCAGGTTCTCACCAGAAACCAGATCTGCCCATGCACTAATCTTGGATTTCTCAGCATCCACATCTGTGAGAAATAAATGTGTGTTGTTTAAGCCACCCAGTCTGTGGTATGTTCATTACAGTAGCCCAAGATGAAGACAGTACCCCACCACACATAGTCTGACTTTACTCAGCTCCAGATGGGGCCTCTCTGCTCTCATCCAGCTGCACTGCTGGAAGAATAAAGTCTAAGGTTCCTAGTGAAGTACATAGTCTTTTCATAGTCCTGTCAAGTGTTCAAGTGTCCATTCATTCATTCATTCATTCAACAAGTGTTTACAGAACACTTCCTGTCTCTGGCATTACTCCATCTAGACTTGTTATGGTAAGAGATGAACATTGCTCTTGAGCTCACAGAATGTAAAAATGTGAGTTGGGGCTGGGATTACACAACTCAATAGTGATATAATTACAAAAAGGAAGAGAGCAGAGTACCTTCAGAGAAGATGACAGGGTGGAGTGGCAAGGATGAGCCTTCATTTTTATGCCCTATGATATTGGAAGACCAAAAGACATGGATCTCTCATGTCATCATTTGTACCATTTGCCCTTCAAAACCTCACTTCTCCTCACCTCCTGGTGAGGCCTGCTCTCCCCCACACCTTCCTCCTTGCTTCTGCCTTGGACTGAGGCTGACTCCTGGCTCACCAGAGGCTCAGGCAGACTTTGTCTTTACATAGGAGAATGCGGAGCAGTGAGGCGAGGCATTAGGGAGACAGATTATAGTTAAGCATGAGGAAGAACCTCCCTGGCCTACTACAGTCCAGCCTACTTCAGGAAATACTTGGCAACCAGCTCCTGGAGTTATAAACACAGAGGACAGCCACATGCCTGAAGAGGACATGGACGTCCCTCGGTAGCCCTTCAGGGTTGCAGCTCAGGTGACTCAGAGCCCAGATAGTCTACAGTGGTCAAGTCTCCTACACACCCTGGTGCCCAAGCCCATACCAGCCTCTAGCCCTCCCTTCCTGACACTCCCAGCACACCCACAGTGCCCTGCTTCCAGAGCCTTCTGCCGGAGAGCCTAAGGCACAATTCCAGCCTGCATTCAGTAGTTGTGCCTCAGGGTTTGCATACTGCTGCAGATGCCGAGGTAATGTGGAGAACTAGGCACAGAGACCCAGCCTTTAGTTTGGAAAGTTGGCAGATGGATCTGTAGTCCCCAGATGCCTCTCTGGCCTCAGGCATTAGGATGTTCCTGGCAGTATATATAGGGGCTCCACCCCCATCGCTCAGAATCTACTCACTTAACCCAAGAGGGAAATATCCCTCCCTTTCATCTGAACATCCTCCACTGACAGTAAAGCCACCAGCTTCCTGCACTGCACTTGAGCTGGTTTAAATCCTGAATTAGCTGATGAGGCTCCATTCAATAGCTGGATGACACACTGATCAAACTCTAGGATTCCTGTGGGAAGGGGGAATGCTATCTCCAAACCCTAGTCCCAAACCCTGGCCCAACAAGCAGCACAGAATCTGAACATGGGTTTCAGTGATTCCAGACTCTTAGGCTGCCACTTGGCCATTTCTGTCCTGACCCAGCCTGGCAGGATGGCATGCAGGGGCAGATCCCATACCAGCAGAAGACCCACCAGGCTCCAGGCTTTCAATCTCAGCCACTCAGATTCTGTGGGTTTCAATTTTCTCTCCTAGGAACAAGGAGATTAACAGTTGCCCTGAACACCTCCCAGAGTGGAAGAGGCAAAGAGAGCATCATACAAGTCATGACATGTGACTCAGTGCCAGTGGTTATCCCTGTGGGGCTACTCTCACCACAGAGCTCTACTGTAAGACTCACACTCCTTCTTGACCCTGGGACCACAAAGGAAGAGACAGGACCTGTGGTTGCCAGGGAGTCACAGGAAGCCCTTGCAGCAAAGCATCCTCAACGCCAACAAGCCTAATGCCTCATTTGTTTTTGGTTTTGTTTTGTTTTGTTTAATCTGAGCACTTCAGAATATTATTCAGCCTTAAAAAATAAGGAAATTCTGCTATTTGTGACAGCACAGATGAACCTATGAACCTAGTGGACACCATCCTAGGTGGAATAAGCCAGACACAGAAAAATAAATACTACATGATTCCACTTTTATGAGGAATCTAAAATAGTTGAGCTCACAGAAGCACAGAGTAGAATGGTGGCTGCCAGGGAAATGAGAGGTCTTAGTTCATAGGAAAAAAAGGTTCAACTCTGCAAGATAAATAATTCCTAGAGATCTCCTGTGAGACATGGAGCCTATACTTAGCAATGCTATATTATATGCCTAAAAATGCAGCCACTCTGGAAAATTGTGTGGAGGTTCCTCAAAGAGTTAAAAATAGATGTGCCCTATGACCCAGCAATTGCACTGTTGGGGATTTACCCAAAGATACAGATGCAATGAAACACCGGGACACCTGCACCCCGATGTTTCTAGCAGCAATGTCCACAATAGCCAAACTGTGGTGTCCATAGAAAGATGAATGGATAAAGAAGATGTGGTGTATGTATACAATGGAATATTACACAGCCATTAGAAATGACAAATACCCACCATTTGCTTCGACATGGATGGAACTGGAGGGTATTATGCTGAGTG